TATAATACAACATAATTAGCCAATTTTTCTCTCATCTGCCCCTGTATGGCAATGTAATAATTCTTTTAAGATATCAATAAACTCCCGGTAGATAGGGGAGGGCACGGGACATATGCCTGTTTACCTCTGTTAAACACCAGGCATCCCCGTCCTCCGACACCTGTCACCTGCGTAACTGTACTAGCCAATGGGGTGAAGTTGCCACGGCACAGGGTTGCCGTTTTAATTGAGACGTAGACAATTTCCTGTAAAACTTGCCTTTGTTATGACCATCAATAAGTGTCAGGGCCAAATGCTTAAGCGTGTTGGCATTTTTTTACCTGAGCCTGCATTTGGACACGGTCAACTTTATGTTGCATGTTCAAGAGTTCGTGAAAGAACGGACGTAAAATTAAAAATATTGGATGGTCCTCTGCAAGGTGAGCTTAAAAATGATGGAAAGTTCTACACAAATGTTGTGTACAAAGAGATCTTTGACATGTGAATTAACATTTCATATTTAAATCACCTTTATTGGTTGAGCTAGCGGTGGGCTCTTAAGAAATGTACCGCCAGTAGTTTCCTTAATTTTACTCTACTTTAAGCAATTAAGCAAGTAGAAGGGGGAAATTTATAATATCTAGAACAGCGGTCATTTCGTATGTCCGCTGGGCCTTCTAGTACTTCAATAATAATTATGATGCGATTCATATATCACCAAAAAGCCTTAAAATGGACAAGCCACCGCTCAGTCTCACCCGTTTTTTAATCAAGGACTTGATAAAAAATAAAACTCGAACACTAAATCCTAGGGTTGAACACAATTAATTGGTTAAAAAACAAAGTTTAAAAAAAAATTCAAACTCGGATAATGAAAATAGACTTAATATGTAAAATAGCAAAATGTAAAAGGTAATTTCGTTTGTGGCATAACCGGTAAACCTAAGTAAACTTAACCATTCATGATAGAAATGGATTAGTTTTTAAATTAACAAAGATAACGCAATTGGCTTAGAGATACTTAGATGATATATTCTCTCACAGCCTCTCACCATACTCAGCGCACACTTTGCTTATTCACCACCAATAAATTCACTCATGAGGTCCGTGACCCAAACAGTCTTACACCTGTTACTGCAATATCATAAATAAACACCTTTATCACTTTATCAGAAATAGTATAACAACGGGTCTAGGAAGAAACAGACATAATTTGTGTTAAAACAGTAAAATACTTACCTCCTATACGGATTTTTGTATCACCAAAATTATAAATTCACTACTAAAACTCAGTTACCATCACTCATCTTGAAAATGCGTTATCACCATTTCTTTCCTGTGACTCGGAAAAATTATTCCCAGAACTAGAATCCAATCAGTTTATTAACTGCACTTTCAGAAGTTGTTTAATGACTTATCCTAAACAATATTCAAATTACTCACTAGTTGATCAACAGCAGTTCACATTTCAAAACAAACGTAATACAGTATATCAGTTGTCAAGAGTAATACACGCTATAGCTGAAGGGTATAATATAAAACTTCCGACGGAAGCGGTTTTCAAAGGCATTGCCAAAGTATTCTACAGAGTTAAAACAAAAGCTGAACACATAAACTAAACAAATTCACAAACTAAACAAATGTAATTGGTATCTTAGCGGAAGTAAACAAAAACCTTTACACATTTAATCAAACATGGTTTTGCTCAACTACACTCTTAGACAAAAAACAAACAAACAAAACAAAAAAAAAAAAAACGGTGCACCACGGCGCACCAAGAAGATATAAAGCAAATTGGGCACAAATTGTTATGCATACAGGGTTCAACGGAAAATGCAAAATTTTACATTTTGGCTGCCAATGAATGAACGGTTGTCGCTACAGCGCATCTGATCTGCGCAACCAGCAAGATATTTAAGAGAAATTATAATTCCAGTTCATAAATTCTCCACGAATTTCATTCCGTGTACTCTGGTAGACAATAGCTATGCCTCGCATACAGGTGGGCGAAAGATATGCGCAGATGTCAGAATTTGAGAGAGATTGTGCAGTTGGGTCAGTGAAGCTGGTTGGTCTTATCGCCGAATGGATCGACATTTGAGCAGAAGCGATGCTACTATTAGACGATGTTGGCAGGAATAGGTGAACCATGGCCGCACCCAGCGTCAAGAAGGAAGCAGTAGGCCTAGAGAAAAGACAGAATGTGAAGACCGAGCAATCGTCAGAGCGGCACTCACAGCCCCAGATGCATCATTATCATCGATTTTATGTGCAACTAGTGCTTCAGTGACCGCAAGGACCATTCATAAATGGCACACAGAAAGATCATTTCATTTCATACTAGGACTCTTTTGTCATCTGTCGCAACCTTACAGCACAGCGGTACGTCAACGAAGTTCTAAAGCCCGTTGTGTTGCCCTTCATGTCACGTCACCCTGGGCTTACATTTCAGCAAGATAATGCCCTCCCCCACACTGCACATGTTTCTACTGCTTGCCTTAGTGCTCTCCTATTGAGTACGTTTGGAGCATTATGGGCAGGGCCCTCCAACCAGCTCGGGATATTAACAATCTAATGCGCCAGTTGGACAGAATTTGGCACGATATCCCTCAGGAGGACATCCGAAACCTCTATCAATCCATGCCAAGCCGAATAAGTGCTTGCATAACGACCAGAGGTGGACAAACGCGTTACTGACTTTTTCACTTTGTGAAGCTCTATCACTTCAATAAATCATCCAATTTTTCTCAAACTGTTATCATTTGTTTTCCTCTTCATGTACATAACTTCTACCGATTTTTATCCTATTCGGATAACTCCTTTCTTGGTGCGTCTTTTTTTTTTTTTTTTTTTTTTTCTGTCTAAGAGTGTAACATCATTCTGAAAATTATTAATTATCTTTCCCTTGCGTACTAATTTAAATAAAGTATTTAAAACATTTCGTATGCAAAAGCCAGTGTAATAAAATATCCTTCATAAGTGAATAAAAAATTTAAGAAAACAATTATTTGTATTACAAAAGACAGCAAGATCAGATCTGATATTTATCGCCTTTAATAATTACGCAGTCTGTATGTCATCCCAAACTGTTTTAAATATTGAAATGCTTTAACTAATAAAAATACATTGTCCAAAATAATCCCAAGTCATTTGCAATTACAAGAGTAAATTTGAGAGGTACTTTGTAAACATTGCTCTCGGAAATTTTATGAAATTTAGTATTTAGACATAAATTTAAAATTTGCCGTTAAATATTAAAAAAATCTCTCATTTCATAAAATATCCAGTTATATCCCAAAACTCTACGATTTCGTAGATTTTACGAAAAGTGATTAGTATTCTGAAACTCGCATTTTGAGTCTTTAGAATATACATTTTATAAGGAGGTGTCAGTAAATATACTTCTTTATATTTAGTTAGCATTGCGTCAGTTTCAAAATGGCTTCAACCCTTCGCTTGACAGAATGATAAACAGTCATTGGACGTCGATTTGCATGTATTCATTTTCAAAAAAATGTATTTACTACTTTAGAAAGTTTCTAGGTTTTTCTTTCCAATTTTACGTAGCTTATAAACTGCACTTTATGGTGATGCTTCTGATGTAAACTGAACGTTTTACGCAACGACGAAGGAATGCGTTTCTCTTAGACGTTCGATCAAAGAGAAAAAAAAAGTTATTTTTCCTGAGGAGAACTACAAAAGCCTTTATGCATATATGGCGTAAGGAAAATCTGGTTGACGCCCGTTATGGCATCTGACATCTGCTAAAAGTGAACGCAAAGGGATGCATTGAGGTTTTATAACCTACCACTGAGTAATATTTTATCGAAACTTGGAGAGAAAGAGTTTACACTGCAAATATTTACTCGTCGTAACAGAGTTTGAGTTATTTTATTTTGTTTCCAGAGAAGGAGAACTTTCACAATATTTCCGCTTAGAGTATATAGCATATACTAATGTTCTGAAATCATGAATATTAAGATCCTCATTATAAATCTGATACGAGAATATTTGCTCACTGCAAAGGTAAGGTAACTTTTAATCGTATATTCACTTTATGCAAGCGAACTTTCGAAAGTTTGAGCATTTGCTGGTAAATTTTCATCTGAATTTCAAATTATTCAGTTGCTTTCACTACCAGAGCAAATATTTATTGTTAGGCGTTATACTTGGAAATTATAGGCGTTTAGTGCATAAATGTTTTAATTAAATTGCATATTCTTAATTGTTCAGAAATGATTTCAAACTATTTATATGAAACTAGGTTTCAATATTAAACGATAAACGCATTTCAAATATCGATTAGAAGGACATAGTAACTGCTAAATATTTGAAATACTCTTCTTAAAATGAAACGTCTTCACTGTTTTAAATGCTTAAAATGCTATATTTTCTTACATGACTGGACGTTGCATTCCTTATAGGACATTGTCATTAAGTTCAAAAAATGAAAAACTTTCCAAAAATGAAAAAATAAGATATACCATGTACGAAAGCAATGTTTCTAACACGCATTTAAAAAATCTGATGTTTACGCCACTTACTTTCTTGTACTCACGTAGACACAATTATAGACATTATTTTTGCTGCACTTTACTCTTATTTCATTTGAAAGTGAAATATGATCGTCCAATTCTGCGCATCAAGAAACCAAGATCTAGTTTCGGGAAAATTTCCAGTTCAGTTAACAAGCAATAGCACGAGTATTGTTATTGAGGAGCGGATGTAATCTGACAGACTGCTCTCTTCACATTCCTTGAAAGTTGAACTTCAGGGTGATAAGTACATAGAGATTTATGTCCGCAATAAGTTCCAGTGGAAATTTCTCGACCCAAAAGTTAAGTGGGAGGTGATAATGCAGAAATGATGGCATTGTATTATTAAAACATTAACCCAGAAGCTCCGCTTAACGCAGAAGGCGTTTTCGAGCTGAATTACCGAAACCTAGCAGCCAGTATTATTATTTTATATTCTTTATCTTACTTCTAACTAATTAATCAAGGTAAAACAAAACTGCTTACCTTGTTCCAATGGGTTCGGCCAGGGCCAATGGGCTGAAGTTCCTCTGTGCTGTGCATCTGCAAAAATCTTGAGAGGGATAATCCATAAATGATAAACTTTCTTAACACAAACATATTTAATGAAGACGCAAACGGTTACAGAATATTTACATAATGAAAGGTTTAAATGTTCGCACGACGCAGCGTGCGACTTCTCAGTTCTGAGTTCTCGTCATCTCTAGCTAGAGTTCATAGTTCGAGATGACGTCACTCAGCCATCGGATCTCAGCAAGAGTTGAGTTGCAACATCCTCCCGCCCGGAAGGACAATTGGCGTAATTGTCCTTATTACATTCCAGCTCCACCGGATATAGTAATTGCACTGGTCTTTTAATCGTATGTCCATTGGGCAAGCGGACAGCACAGGCTCTCACCTTGCCATCTCTCCCAGGAAAGACTTCCATTATGATGCCCATCTTCCACATCAGCCGTGGAATTTTATCTTCATGCACTAATACAATAGTTCCTTTATTCAAACATGTTGCTGTTTTCGCCAGTTTGGAATGATGAGCAGATTTTAAATTCATCAAATAATCCTGCCTCCATTTTCGCCAGATTCTTTCTACCAGTATCTGTTGATGTCTAAATCGACGTGTAAGACTCTCCTTTGTTGAAGTTAATTTAGAGCTTCCTTGCGGCAATGACAGTAATCGTCTTCCTATTAAGAAGTGACCAGGGATCAAAGATTCTGGCTCTCCTAGATCCGAGTATGTAAATGTTAAAGGTCTGGAGTTCAATATAGCTTCCACTTCTGTTATGACTATCTCTAATTCCCTGAATGTCAAGGATGATTTTCCTAAGATTCTCTTCAGAAGAGCTTTAAGAGACTGAACCATACGCTCCCAAAAGCCTCCCCATAGTACATTTTCACCTCTAGTTAGTAAACCAGCTGGATTATGTTCACCAGGGGTATATCTCCAGTTCAAGACATCTGAATTCTTCTGTATTTCCTTCACTCTGTTCTGAACGAATGGCTTCCACCTTTTCACATCACTTCTAATCAATGTAACGTTTATTACTAGAATCGGTCCACATATATACAATTAAATCAATGTCCCGAAGTTTCTTTTGAATGTAATTTGACAAGCGCGAGCCTATCAAAGCACCCATCCATTCCAATCTGGGAAGTGATAATTTTTTCAAAGCTGCTACTCGTGATTTTGATGTAGTGAAACTTGTATGAATGACTCCATTTTTCGAATAACGAATATACAGAACAGCCCCATAGGCCTTCTGACTCGCATCTGTTAAACAGTGTAACTGTAAACCATCCTTTATATCCCATTTCCAAGCACCTTCAAACTGATGTCTTAGTATTTCCAAACTAGAAATATGAGCTAATTCATCACACCAGCTTTGCCAATTCTTTCTGAGATTTTCTGGTATTTCAGTGTCCCATGCTATCTTTTGTTCCCATAAATCTTGTAATAAAATCCTAGCTCGAATGGTGTATGGATTTAAAAACCCCAGTGGATCAAAGAAGAAAACGTCCTACAAATCTCAAGATTTCCCTTTTAGTTGGTATGTTATCTATCCTTTTGGCATCTTTTACCAACTTTTCAATTTCTATCAAAAATGTATCATTTGACCTATTCCATATGTATCCCAATACTTTTAGAACAAGTCGAATCGTGTGAAAAATCGTTCATTCCATACCCTTTGTAAATTCGTTTTCATTCGTTTCCACTGCCGCATGTTAAATCCACCTTCTTTCAGTATGCGTTTAATATGTTCCGATTCCTCGAATGCTTCTGATTCTTCATCTGCTCCAGCGATTAAATCGTCAACATACATATTTTCAGTTAGCATGGAAAATACGTTCGGATACTGTAACTTGTATTTGTCAGCGTGTACATTAAGAGTTGCTCTGAGAAGAAACGGACTAGATGTTGCTCCAAAAATTACCCTTGTCATACGAAGAGCCTTTATTTTGGTTCCATTTAATTCACCATCGTTCCATAGAAACTTGACTGCGTTTTCTGTCTTCATCAGCAAAGAAATCTGCAAGAATGCTTGTTCGATGTCAGCTGTAAACGCAATTCGATTTTGACGGAACTTAAGGAGCAATTCCAGTATGTCTGGACACATCTTAGGACCTGAATGTAAACAGTCATTTAATGACAAACAATTCTCCGCATGTGACGAAGCGTCAAAAACCACACGGAGTTTTGTAGTTTCCTTGTTTTCTCTTATAACGGCTTGATGCGCGCATAAAATACGTTTTTGGTCCAATTTCAATGTTAGTCTCTTCGGCGCGATTCCTTTCTTTTAAGTACCTATCAATTACTTCGCGATATCTGTCATAGAAATGTTGATTATTCTGAAATCTACGACTTAAACTCTTAAATCTAATTTTAGCAATCTCCAGATTATCTCCTAGCTCATTTGAATTATGATTCCAAGGAAGGCGCACCATATAACGATTGTTTTCAAATTTCACAGATTTTTTGAAATTATCGAAAATTAATTATCTTCTAATTCGAGTTCCTTATCCGAATCATAATTTATCCCCATAGAATCGAGCTTCCAGAGATTCTTCAGCAAACTAGACAGTGATTTGTTCTGTGTATCTTTATTATTATGAACCACAACCTTCATTGTATTCACATTACTTTGTGAAATTCCATAAGCCCTTTCGGTTCCACTAATGGTCCAACCCAATTTTGTTTCAACCGCTACTAAGGAATTAGACAGTCTGTGAACCTTACCCGTAACTATCTTCGAATAAAAATCCGCTCCTATCAACAAAGAAATTTTCGGCGGTTTATTCCCTGGTCCCCACTCATCGGAAAGTTGTATGCCCTGTTTTTTAATAAGATTAACTATTTCATTTCTAGGGGAATGAATATGTGATCCATTAATGACAGGAATAACCCAGGCAGCATGCATTCGTAAATTGCACGAGAAAAATACATGCAATTTACGAATGGCCTTTCGTATAAAAAACGTTCAAGTTGAACGTAAAAATATCATAAAAAGTGTCCAGTGGCAATTACTAAATATTTACGTATATTTTTACGTTATACTATACGTAACTTTTACGTAAAATTTAGGTATATTTACGCGAGAGACTACTGTTCATTCGCAACTTTTACGTATAATATACGTAAATTTCAGGGATTTACGTATATTTTTAGTAAAAATTTACGTATATTTATCGCATATACGTAAATCTCAATTTTTTGCTTCACGTATGCGTATATATTTAGTAAAAATTTACGTAAATTTCCCCGATTTTTTACTGTATATAAACGTATATATTAGGTAAAAATTAAGGTAGATATTCCCCGTATTTTACGGTACAAAAACGTATATATTTGATAGAAATTAACGTATATATTTCCCGTATTTTTACGGTACAAAAACGTATATATTTGATAGTAATTGACCTAAATCTTCCCTATGTTTTTTTTGCATATGCAAATGACTGGTAAAAATTTAATCCGATGTATTCTCCACTTTACTGTGTATAAATGCACATTTTTTGGTAAAAAATTTGCATAAATCTCCAATTGCCTTTTCACTGCATTTTTCATAAAATGTACTTATTTTAATCTCATATTTTTATATAAAATCTATGCAAAAACTTTCTGTATGCTATGATTAAAAGGTAAAATAATTTTTATATCAAATTCTTACATATCTGCCTTTCAGTTATGTACAGCAATATGGAATATATATAACTGGAAAATTTAAATGCACTAGTAAATGCAAAAAAAAAAAAAAAAAATAAATAAAATAAAATAAAATAAAATAAATAAATAAATTTCTATTAAAAAATTACGTAACACTTAAAGGCTGAAAATGACTTTTAATATTTCATTTCAAAGTGGCTAGAAAATATGGAATAAATTTCGTAAACATCAAGTCTGTGTTTTAAATCAATTAATGCTATTGTTCATTTGCATTTTTGTTTACTAAATTCATTTCATAAATTTAAATTTAGTAAAAAACTGTAGCAAACAGTTGTTTACTAAATAACACTTTAAATAAATTATTTGCTTTTCCGAAGGACATTTTCTTATGCCATGTAAATGAACGATAGCATTAATTGATTTAAAACATAGAACTCAGGTTTACAAAAAATTTAATGCATATTTTTGTAGTCACTTTGAAATGAAATATTAAAAGTGATTTTCAGCCTTTTAGTGTTATGTAATTTTTTAATAGAAATTATTTTTTTGCATTTAAATTTTCCAGTTATATATATTCCATATTGCTGTACATACCTAAAAGGTGGATATGTAAAAATTTGATATTAAATTAATTTTATCTTTTAATCATAATATGCAGAACATTTTTGCATAGATTTATATAAAAAATAAGATTAAAATAAGCACATTTTACGAAAAATGCAGTAAATAGGTAATTAGAGATTTATGCAAATTTTTTACCAAAAATGTGCACTTATACACAGTAAAGAGAAGACATCGGTCTAAATTTTTACCAAAGTCATTCATATATGCAAAGAAAACATAGGGAAGATTTAGGTCAATTATTATCAAATACATAAGTTTTTGTACCGTAAATTACAGGGAATATCTACGTTAATTTCTATCTAAAGTACAATATAGTTAATTAACAAATTCAGTAAACGAATGTAGCACAAAAGAAATCATACATTTAGATTATTTGGATGAGTGTGCTAAATTTTAAAATTGTTAAATATAGGCCAGGAAATTGTAGAAAACTTACCTTTTCCAATAGTTTACCAAGTTGACTTTGTTATTTTCCTTGAAGATTAATGTTTAATGTCACAAATATTTCATTCATATCTTCAGATAATACACAAATATATACATATTTATTTATTAAAGTTCAGTTTATCCCAAACATGTTAAAGAAAATATTAATTTGCATGCAAGTTAATCGAGTAACTTCTGTTTTAATTACACACATAATTATGATATGTAAAAATTTTACATTTATGAGTCAATCTTGCAATGTATTGTAATCTATTATTGTTGTCTCTCTCAGTTTTAAAATCTTATAAATATATTAGATCAGTACTAAAAGTTCACCTCTACAAAAGAAATGCTTATTGAGGTATTTTTAAAAAGTTCCCTTTTACAATGTAACTGTTTATTTCATAAAAAAGTACATAAAATTATGCAAATTCAAAATTACCTAAATATGTTCTTTATTTTATCTTATACCAGATAAAATTTTAAAAAGTTAATTTGTTTAGGAATATTGAAGTTTTTAAATATTTATCTCATGTGACTTTTTCTATAACATCATTATAAATGTACATGTTGATGTGGACATACCAATTATTTTTTTTTCATCAAATAGCTTTATGGTATTAAATGATTTAAAAAGAGGCAACTGGACAAAAGAAAGCAATTAGAAGTTGGCTAATTTTTTATTAATTTGTTGTCAAATGCTGTGCATTTTAGATTATGCTCATATGATAACAACGAGTTATTTAAATTATAAAATTATTATGAACATATCCCACATAAATTAACAAGTATAAAATTTCAAGTTGTTTGAAGTATTATGAACTGTAATAGTTGCAAAATACACATGAAATTAATTTAAGAATTAGGTTTATTTTACAGGTATTCGAAAACTGCAATTACTGTTAAACAATAAAAACTAACATTAAATCTGAAGAGCATATTTTTTTCAATAATAAAATTCAACATAGACTTCATGCAGCTTCGCCATATTTGTTCTATAGTTCGCTGTCTTTAATATCCTGCTCAATTTTTGTAAAAGTGAATTCTTTGTCACCCAATGTTTTGAGAACAGCTCCTAAACAAGAAAAAGAAAAATTTGTAATAATTTCACACTTCAGATGTTTTCAGTTTTTAAATATAGTTGAAGTATTAAAAGATGCATATAAAATGCATTGAGTATTTCATATTTAAAAATTTACATTTCAGTAATTAAAAATTTAATTTCATACTATCACACAGTAAGCTTCAATTATATATACCTTACACAATGCCTATAATTTCAAGTAAAAAATACTTAAGATTTGTTTAGAACTGCAAGGTTGAGAAAGTCTTTAATGGCTATGTTTGTATTTAAGTACATGAGAAAAAACTTAATTTGTATTAATTATATTGCATTAGCCTTTTCAATTTTACTCCTACATATAGCAAAGAATATTCGCTTTCTTACAGATAACTTTTTCTTAAATAAAGAGTAAGCAGAAAACTAATCACAACACTATATACATATAACAAATACTTCATAAACATATACATGTCATTAACATACGTATATGCATTAACAGGCTATGTTACACATTTCAATAAACCAGAAACCAATACACAATCAAAAGTATTATCAATAAATTCCTCCAAAGTCAGAGTAAAAATCTTTAATTATGATAACAATGGCATCTCAGTTTGCAATATAAAATATTTCAAGTCTACATTCATGTGCATTCTAAGCAAACAGAAAGCTGAATAACAATAAAATTATAAATACCATAAAAAAGTTAAGAGTCACATAGAATGATAGCAAGACTAAATGAAGTCTTCCTTCAAAAATCAATTTAAATTAAAAAATTTGCCTTCCTGTTTAATATCTCAAAATAGGGTTACTGCTTTCACTAACTAAATTTCCTGTCTTTGCAAAATAAAAATTGTCACTTCTGTTGCAGGAAATATTTGCTGCAAACTTTGTATGCAAATAATCCAGTGAAAAAATTTTAATTGTGGCTTGAAATATTTTCTTTATTAAATAAATGAAAAATTGCCCACATAATATTAATTTATGAGCCACATGAAGCTTTTTACCTCTACCATATCATGCAGCTATTTTAAAATATATACTCTCATATAAAAGCCACGGAATTTTTTTTACCAATATTAATATAGTATAAATCATTAATAAATCTTCTAAAAACAGCCCCAAAAATTTCTGAATTTGATACCCAAAACATAATTCTACGTAACTGTTAATGTATGCATTTGCTTGATACTTAAAACGAATTATATACTCAAAAATTTAAGAAAACAGTTCCATAAATTTATGCATTTTAAAAGCAATAACAATTACCAAATTTTAGCTTAACATATTAACTTTAATAAATTCTTAATTAGCAGGGATGACTCAATTAAGGCAAAATATGAAAGAAATCTACCTGATGGAATATTTGCAAAAGATATATTTAAAAAAAGCTAATATTTTTTACCTTACACATGGCAGAAATTGAGTAAACTGTATGCAGCTGGATTATTTATTAGGAATAGAAGTTAGATTAAAGTACCAAAGTCACACTAGGGCTTTAACCATTTGGGTGCAAAGAAGCATCTCAATTTAAAAAAGCTAATAGAATTTTATAACTTTTACAATCTAGTACAAATATTAGACACATAAACACTAAATGCCATTATTTACTTGCATATTTTCCTTCTTTGTGTACTTTACTCCTTAATTTTTCAGGATATGATTTAGAAACAGAGTTATGGTAAAAATGTATACTGGTAAAAAAAATATTGCTGCTGAAACTGATAAGTCCTTTGAATTATATACTATAGTGCAAAGAGGGATGGAATATGTGACTAAATATGATAAATCAGATTACAATAACATTAAACAAATAACATGAAAAACTGAAAAAGAAATTTTATTTGAAATTATTTTTTAACTCATGGAAAGACAGACAGTATTTCCAACTTATTAAATTCAATTATATTTTACCTTCGTCGAACCAATATTGGTAAGAGAGTTGTATTTAAAATCGGTGCTAAGCTAAAGTTGCTTTCTTGCCTAATTTTATACTATTGAAAATACCGGTAATTGTCAAAGTTATTCGTACTCAATATGTGTAAGATTATTAATGAGCTGCCAAACCACAGTTAACCATCTAATATACTACATTCAACGTTATTATTATTATTATTATTATTTTATTTTTTGAATGTCAGGTTTTCATTATTTCTGCGAATATATCTGTAACAGGACATAAAGATTGAGTTAATGTAGAATAGAAAATTACCTTGCAAGTTAGCACCTTTACCTTAGTGGCAGTACTTCATTCTCTAGAAAAAACATTTTTAAATTATTATACTTAAACAAAAAAATTCATATTTGTTACAGCAAAACATCATTAACACAATAAACCAGAGTTGAATGCAAATCTAGTTTAACTCCATTCTTGAAAACTAGTTTATTACTTTCAATTTAAAAATAATAAAAACGTTATGATGCACTAATAGCCCCTAACTTTTGGGACTAAATAGAGTAAATTAACAACTTTTAGCTTTGAAAAGTTTTTTCTTCTTGTAAAAAATAGACATACAGAATATTTTTAGAAAATAACAGTACTTTAAGCATGCATTTTCCACATATTTAACACAATAATTCATTCTAGCTCTGTTGCAATACTGGCAAAGGTACTCCTCTGTTATTAGGACGGGATTCAGAAATGTACAATGAAACCTCGAGATACGAGGAAAGTATGAGCGAAATACGAGCATTAATTCGAGTAACGAGCCAGGCTGTTGGTATGGGTGGCGCCATTTCCCTATCCGGCTCAACTCGGGGAATCCCCTCGTCAGATCACTCAGTGTTCCTTTACATACGTGTTTGTGCACTTGTAAGTTAATTGTTTTGACATTTAACGTGAAAATAATTATTTCAAGATGCCTCGCAAGAAGATTGTTGCCTCTGATAGTGCTGCAAAGAAAAATAAAGAGGCCATGGCCGTCGATATCTAGAAAGAAATCATAGATAAACATAAGCATGGTGACAGAATTGGCGAAGACTTGCGGCCCTTCAACATCGAAAATCTATACTATTCTGATGAAGCAGGAAGAAATTAAGAAACCTGATGTAACCAAAGGAATTATCGTTGCTTCCAAGCACCATAAAAATACTCCTACATGTTGAGAAGCTGTTGTTGGTGTGGATTAATGAGAAGGAGTTAAAATGTTGGTAACAAAGTTAAACTATTGCTATATTATTTACCAGTGTTATTTATTAGGAAAAATTGACTTGATATTAAAATGTTGATATTTTTTGGGGTGTGGAACAGGTTACCTGAATTTCCATTATTTTCAATGGGGAAGCTTGTTTCTAGATACGAGAAATTCGCTATACCAGTTGAATGCTGGAACGAATTAAACTCGTATCTTGGGGTTCCGCTGTAGATATGTAAGCATGTGTATATGCATGTATGCGCATATATGTGTATAAGTATACACATACATACATAAAGAATATACACATGCACACACGAGCACCTACATTTAAAAATGCATGCATATAAACACACATTTCTGAATCTGGTCCTGATAACAGAAGAATACCTACATGAATCATAGGATTTACATTAATCAGTTTTATTAGAATTCTTAAATGCAGAGGATTTACATTAATCAGTTTTATTAGAATTCTTAAATGCAGAGGATTTACATTAATCAGTTTTATTAGAATTTTTAAATGCAGAGGATTTACATTAATCAGTTTTATTAGAATTTTTAAATGCAGAGGATTTACATTAATCATTTACAGTTTTATTAGAATTCTTAAATGAAATCTTCACTATCTGAAAATTCAGTTTCATTTCCAGCTGAAAACTGTATCAGGACAATCTCATTTATATTATTTCCCTCTAACAACTGAACATTTTGAAAACCTTTTCTATTCCATGGAAAACTAATGCTACATTAAACATACATTTTCTAAATCTGAAAATTTTAAGTTAGAAACTGTAATCATTCTTAAAAAAGTTTGATTTATGCAGATGTTAGATCAATAAAATTACTTTCCTGTGAAAAAGTAATATGGCATTGAACAACACGATTTTACGCATCAAGATATACTGAGTGAAAATTCCTGAAATGTTTTATTTCTTGGTATCTCTGCAAGAATTGTATAAATAAGACTACCTCCCTTTTAAAAAAAAAATGTTTAGTAAATACTATGAAGAAAATTGGTTACATTATTTACAGTTCATAATTAATAGAAAATAAATCATTTCTTAGCTTATCAGAATTTATTTTTATCACATTCATAAACAGTACTAATTTAAACAAACATACCATTATGATTTCAATAACTATGAAATAGAAAATCCAAATCTGCATCTTTGATGGTTTAGTAGATTGGACGTCTCGTTTACTACAATTCAGCAGGGTGCTGACTCCCCAGACTGTAATATATATATACACAATTAATTTACAAGGGAAAAAGCAACAAGAATATAAACAATTTCTTGGTTTTATATAAGCATTTCTGCACATTTACAATTTTAATTTTTTTAACTATCTAGTTATATCAAAATACATGATTTAGTAAAATATAATTCAAATAATTTATGGTATTTTAGATCAAATACTAATTTTTCAATAAATTTTTTCATGCAAATCTAATAATTAACATAACTATCAAGTTTTGACTTCGAAAATTATGTTTAGAAAAACTTGAAGCTGCAGTAAATAGTAATAAATTTATTCAAAACTGAAAGTAAAGCATTCTTACTTTATTTTCTTTCTTTAACTATGGCAGATCTTTTAAAACAACAAAATCAAACAAACAAAAAAGAATTGCATTCATGAAAGGACTTAGGACTTACTTATTATTCATGAAAGGATATATTTCAGTAACTACAAGTGCATAAAAATTCAGTATATATAAAAAAAAATGAACACAGATTTGGAACAAAGTACCTGTGTTTCTATGGCATAAATTTCCTTTTAATAGCACAATATCTTAGAGTTAAAGATTATATATAAAGCAAATTTATAAAACTAAATCAAAAAAAATTAAATTATTTTAGGAACCTGGGTTTTCCGGAGAAGATCGTTGGCGGCGAAGCGTATTTACTCGCCAAGCTCGTCAACGGCTAATCGGCCATGAGTTTAGCGGTGTACAGTTACGTTACAAGATATTTAAAAAGGTTAACCGTAATACAAACCGTAAACTGAAAATCGTTAATAGCAATGAAAGGACTGGATATTATGTTCCCATAGATCCCCTAACTCCATATTCCCTCTGTCTTGCAGTATGCCATTTCCTGTTTGTAATAAAAAAACAGCCTGTTAACGAATTTCCGCGAAATGCTTTGATCGTAATTGACTGTTCATTAGCTATTTTGGTGATACATACATGTCTTCTCCATTTAAAACAGAACCAGATCATATTTGCAGATCACAGCAAATAATGAGTCTTTCATGGCAAAGTTATCAATTTGTTGAAAAATAACTTAGTGAAATTCATATCTTTCTTTAAATATGCTTTAAGAATATAAAATTAGAAAATATTCCTGTTTTTAACAGTGCAGTTTCTTGGGAAATTGTCAAAACACAAGAAAAAAACAAAAAGGCACTTTTACTACTTGTACCTTCATTACATAATTTCAAAATGCTTTCCAAAGTATGAGTGAAAATAAATTCTCATCACATAAATGAAATAAACAATGTTTTCATTGAAATATAAACTATTGCAACTGTTTGACTAGGTAAAAAATAAAGTTTGTATAGGAATAAATTATATTCTGCTCTGACTTACTTATGCATGCATAAATAAGTGTGTGTGCTTATGTGTGCATGTGTCATAAAATAAAAACTAACATATCCACTATTTTTATTAACAATCATGCTAACCTCAGAAACAGTAAGGGCAGAATTTAACTTTTTTGCATGTAACTCTAACAAGCATACTATGATTCATTACTTTCCAACTGATGTTCTGTGACTGAATTCTGGTAGTTTGATTTAGGTCCTAATCTAAAAAAAGACAGCTAATTGCATGGGTGTTTTCACGGTGCTTCAATATGTTACAGGAATGCAAAGCCAAAAATCCCTTATAAAGTTCTCCTCAAAGGCACACCTTCTCTTACGCAGATATTTTTTGCATGCTTTGACATAATTAAAACACACCAAACCAAACGGATACATGCCACCAGCAATTTTAAACTCAAAATATTCCTTAACTAACCCTCAAACCCTAACCTGATTTCGGTTATTGTTATTGGAGAGCTATGCTGAGTGATCAATGAATAAGAAAAAAATTTCATTGAAAAATCATGTAGGAATAGTTTTGTATAAATTATCATGTAAGTGTAATATTGCATATATTTATTATATGATTACTTAATTTTTTTGTTATTAATTATTTTTATTAGCCTGAAAAAGAAACCTGCATTTTGAGTTTAAACACAGATTTCAATGCAATTCAAATGTAACTAGAAATTTTCAGCATGCCTTGCAATATAAACTATGAAGCCGTGAGACCACATTTGCAACTTGAAGTAATTTAGTTACAGTCTAACAATCACTTAAAGCAGTTGTTTCTCAGTGTTCCAAAATTACAGTTGTTCAAATCATTATATAAACTACATATTACATGGGAATAACAAAAAAGTAGTAAAATTTATCACAGATCTGCACACGTTGGTTGACTCTTTTCTTTTTGACGATAATTCTTAGCATATGCTAAGAACATGATGCTGTTACAAAATGCTGGTTATCAAAATTAATCTCCAAAATAGATAACTTATTTATTTTGATAATTTCAAAATATTTTTCTATTCAACTACATAGAGATAATCAAATGAAGAAAAAAATTCCCAAAGCCTGTGGAAACTATCCAACATTACAAAAAAAATCATAAAAAACAACAGTCTCCTATTCAACTTATATAAACAAAGTAATTGTTCAACTTTACACAATCCTAAACAAGTCTTTTAACTGAAGACTAACTTTATATCTCTGGTCAGTGCAAAGTTTTGTAAATGCGTATATTACAAATATTTTCAATAACACATTAAAAACACTTAAAAATAAATAGCAATGTCTCCGTAAAATAATGAAACAAACATGAATGCCAAAGTGAAGACTAGATGTCATGCCATAGTCATTTGAAATAAATTGTATTGACACACATTTCACTTTGGAAAGAAGAAAGAAAGTCCATCTCTAAAAAGATGTTTGGAAACTTATAAGAAATGATCAGCAAATTTACCTTAAAATGGACGTAAATCAATGCTGTATACATTACTGCATTTTAGAATATCCAAAATGAGAATGAAAAAAAAGCAATATTTTCATTGATTTTTAGGAAATAGCATATGCTGTTGACAAATTCATATGTAAACTAGGATAATTCTAGTTCCAGGATATCGCTGAAATTATTTCTCCTTAAAACAGATGTGGGAAAAAACCAGCACTTGCAGCTATCTAGACCTTTCATCAGGCCTGATGAAATTAAACGCAGCAACATCATTTTCTTCTGAATGATGCATTCAGGTGTATGAGAATGAGTAAAAATAATATAACTATAAAAAGGTGAAGACACATACAAAAAGGAGTGACACAAACAGTAAGAAACAGACTAGTGCAAAATTTAATTAAAATGAATCATTAGGCACGTACACAAAAGAACAACACATTGAAAATCACATTACACAGACGCTATTTATAAAATTTTATATAGGTGAAGAAGAAAGTACGACTATTAAACACTGAAAATATAAAAATATTCACTTACTTTCTTCAAATAATTAGTAATTTCGATGGATTCAGTCACAAACGCCAATCCACGAAACAAACAGTATTCTTTGCGACTTTACCATTCTTTTCGACCGCCATTGCCGAGTGCTGACTTCACAAATATCCCGCCACAACCGGAAGTAGAAAGTGTCTGCTTTGCCATTGGTCAGTGAACAAGAATTGCAACGCTTTTTTTTTTTTTTCTTTATAATTAAACATATTAAGAAAGCCTCTAAATTAGCATATGAAATAAACTTACTTTTGCATTATATAAATTTATATTCACAGCATCTCTGTATTAAAGTAATAATTCAATTTTTCTACGAAAAAAATAGAAATGTCTGTGTATGCGCATGCTCAGTGTATAATCGTAAATCCGGTTAATTTTTATAAGTTAGCGTAAAATTAACTATGCAAATTTTGAGTTCATTTAACTGGACCCTTGTACTTATTCTGTAGATCTCCATATTAAGAATGTCTTTAACTGTTTCAGGAAAAATATAAAATATAATATAATTATTTTTTACATTATTTATTAATTTTTTCCTCATATAAAAAATTATTAAAATCGCTATATCATTTTTTCCGTACATTAAACAAAATTAAAAAAAAAATAGCCTCATATGATTTTTATAACAAAGCTTAAAGGTACTGAAATTTATGTAAAATATCAGGATTCAGCTTGCAATTTCGTAGAGTTATTATTATTATTATTAAATAAAAATATTAGTATATCTTTGATTATAATTAATGATCCTTTGGTCTACATTAAACTATTGTTCAAGAAGTTAAACGTTTTCGATCATCATCTTCTGCTGTATTTATTATTCTTTTCTTCGACATGAAAGATTTGCTAGTCTTATTCCAATTTAATTGCCCACATTTGCTAAATAAAATAAGGCGAGTATTGTACCAAACTCAGTAAGTACACAAATTTAATATACAGCTTATTCCAGTTAAATGGGTAATAGGATTTTCATAAATGAAATTAAATTGTGTAAATTAATGTAAGTGTTGATATGAATAATAATAACAAATTTGATATACGAAAATAAATAAGTTATTTTGAAGATGTTTGAATTAAGAAAATATAATTTTTTGCAAAAATGCACGTAAAGATTTAGCTTACATGTTAAAATTTATAGAAAAAATTTAGCCTCATATATGAATGCCCCTTTTTTCATGTTCGTGGACAAGAAAACAAAGTGAAATGCCAGAAATACACTAAATATTTTGAATTAATAAACTTCATTTTCAATCTTTTTAGACTTCGTATAATATCCGTAAAAGTGACGAATGAAATATACCATAAAGGCAGTAGTTTCTTTCAGAACATTCGAATTCGTATAATATGCGTAAAAGTGACGAATAAAATATACCATCATGGTGGTAGTTTTATCAGTACATTCGGATTCGTATAATTTTCGTAAAAATAACGTGTGGAAAATAACAATCAAGAGTCAACAGTAACTTCAGCCTTTTTCATTCGTATAAATTTCGTAAAAGTAACGTGCAAAAAATACCATACCCTTATTTCACCAAAATTATACGTATATTTTTGGAGACGTGCTGCCTGGGAATTAAAGTTTCTATTTTGATTTCATATCGATACTTCGAATTACGCAAAATGAGCCTGGTTTTTTTAACATTCGGCGCTTCAGAAGTCGTGCAACCGAAAGAGAATATTTTTATTTTTTCTTCTCCAATAACGGGAAGTTTTAATTTCTTACAGATGTCCTCTCTAATAAATGTTCGCTGCGATCCTAAATCAAATAACAAGCGAACGCTTTGCTGGCGCCAATTGCCTGTGTTTATAATTTCAGCTCGTGCTGTCAGAAGAAATGAGTATTTGCTGTTGCGCAATCGGAAACAGAAGGAGACTACTGCCCCTTTGGACGGGACTCTTGTCTGACGCATTCGATTTCGTCAGAGTGTATCAATGTTATGATGTCGCCGATCGCAAACACCACAAGTTAGTTTCGATTTGCACATACCTCGCTAAATGGCGTCTTTTGAAGACACCTGAAACAAAAAACCCCCTTCGCCTTTAACGCATTCCTTTTTCTCTGGCACAGTTTTTTTACATGATTCTGACGTAATGAGTTTTCAGAACCAGAATAAACAGCTATTAGATAGTGATGCGTTTAACGCTGCCACTGAAGGAATTCTACCCTTATTATAATCCCATTTCTTCGCTTTCTCGAAAACTGTTCTCCAAACTGCCGCTTATTTTCAAAATGGGATTTCTTTTCAGTGACTTCAGAATCTGTTGGCTTAAATAAAAATCCTGTACGTTCTCGACTTTCTATTTCTTTCCTTAGAAAATGGAGCAAATTCGTAATTTTTGTCTGATTATCATCTTCATATTTCCTATTAAATTTTAATGCTAAATCATTCGGAATCACCTTTATTAATATCGGATACAATAAGGTACAATTAATATCGGATACAATACGAATCCGGTAAAATATTACACGATTCTAATCCTCTAATTTGTACTTCACAACGATCATATAATTTTCGAAGTGCTGTCACATCGCAAGACGTTTTAACCGGAGTCAGAGTTAATAAATTTTTCATAGTTCATATGGGTATATCGATTATGATTTGTTCTTTGCGTCCGAACCGATCTTTTAATATTTCACAGCCTTTTCGTAATTCTCTGCTGTTAACGTCAACCCTTGTATTGCAGTTTCTGCATCGGAAGTAAGAATTGACTTTAAATAGTTAAATTTATCTACTGCATGCAGACTTTCGTTTTCGTGTACAGCTGTCTCAAATCGTGCCCAAAACCCGGGCCAACTGCACACGTCCTTTCCCGAAAATGTTTCCAGGGCCAATTTCGGGAGTTTAATTTTGTTTTGCGATTCAGTGACATTTCCACATGAAGTAGAATTAGCGCTATGTGGATTAGTATCTAAATATCTTTTTGCGCGTAATTTCCAAACAATAATTTTACTTTTATACTCTTCTCTAGACATTATTTCATCTTCTAAATTTGTTACATCAATTAAAGTTTCAATACCATTATCCGCTAAGATTAGTTCTTCTTTACTAATTAACTGAGCAACCGTTTCTTCAATTACATTTTTATCCCCCTCATTAGCAATTTCTGTTTCTATCTTATTTATTAGCCTCGTAACTACTGCTCTATAGCAGCAGATCGTTTCTTTTTTAATTTTTCTAAATCCATGTTTTTGCTTAAGCAAATCTATTAAATTTCAGTTCAAATTCAACCCAATGGCCCCACGTTATGGCGCCCACAATATTATTATTTTATATTCTTTATCTTACTTCTAACTAATTAATCAAGGTAAAACAAAACTGCTTACCTTGTTCCAATGGGTTCGGCCAGGGGGCCAATGGGCTGAAGTTCCTCTGTGCTGTGCATCTGCGAAATCTTGAGAAGGGATAATCCATAAGTGATAAATACTTTCTTTACACAAACATATTTAATGTAGACGCAAACGGTTACAGAATATTTACATAATGGAAAGGTTTAAATGTTCGCACGACGCAGCGTGCGACTTCTCAGTTCTGAGTTCTCGTGATCTCTAGCGAGAGTTCATAGTTCGAGATGACGTCACTCAGCCATCGGATCTCAGCAAGAGTTGAGTTGCAACAGCCAGCTCTTAATAATTTCTATTTGAAAAGTTATTCTATAGGAGAAATAACTGGATTAGTATTACTGAATAGTGAGTATTTCTAAATTAAGTCAACCTTGATAAAACAGTTATGAATATTTGACTAATATTTGTTCATTTTCGAAAAGTATTTTATTTCATGAGAGAAATTTTAATATTTTATTTATCTGTATTATTACACCTCATATTAACAACTATTTTATAAAATTTTGCTTTTATAAAAGACTTTATACAGACATTAGGCTATTTTGAAGCAGGAGACATGAAAAATGACCAATGCCCTCGCCGGTACTTGAACCCTGGACGTCTCGAATGTGCACCGAGCGTGCTGACCACACCACGAAGGCATGCTAAAAAGGCGGAAGAAATACCATTAGTACCGGTTTTCGGTTAGTGAAAAACAGTCATAAACTGTTATCACTTTCATGCAGCAAGGTAAAAATCGGAAATGTGATTCAGCCATTTTTTTAACAAAGTTTGCATAACATTTTAGCTAATTATTGTATCATATACGGATTTCTGCACACTGTTTGATTACCAGCGAATGAATATTTAATATAGGAAATATGTGGCAGTCATAGCAACGACGCATTCTTTATCTCTGCCTTTAACAGCAAAAAGGCTAAGTTTTAACCTCAAACAGGGTCACGCAAACATCAAGATTGTATATACAGCAATCTTGCAGATACGGCTGACGATAAAATATCAATAGCTAAACCAAACTTTTTTTTCCTACATCGCAACCTTGTTTTGCATCTCCTATTATGCTCAAAATATCTCCGTCATTGCCACTGCCTTTACCACGTTTTATGTACTCGCTCATTTTCCATACATTTACTCGTATTTTGAAAACCCCACCCTGCCCTCCGAAAAATATATTTTGAAAGGATACTTAAAGTAGATCAGTATGTCAGAGGTACGTTATGTACAGGACATTTAAGAAAAAATAGTGTATTTTTATTAAAATATACTTAATGAATTTAATGAATTTTAATTTACTCATTAAAGGCATTAATTCGCGCTCCAGGTGTCACGTAATATCGCATTATGTTTAGTGACCGTGGTGTGCTTGCATTTCTTTTATACAAACTAGTAAGGTCTTGCCCTATAGATGTTATCTGCTTCGCATTTCATGTCCTTTCTTTAATTTTCTATATCTTATGTTTGTTGCCGCATACTTTGAGAAAGCTTTTGACTTAAATAAATGGTTTCGGATGAGAAACGTATGGGTATTTTGCACGAATCTGCAACCAAAACTTTAGGAGCTGCTCTTGCTTAAATTTAGATTTTAACGTTGAATCTGTTGCTATGCTGAAAAGTAGTTCCCTTTCCTTCAGGGCAAGCCTACTGATCTATTCTGATATTTAAATGGATTTTTTAGTTCATATGTACTAGTCAATTAGTGAGAATGGTTTATATTTTTCTGTATTTCGAATTT